CCCCAAGAACCTTCATTGCCCCTAGGGCCCGGCTCACCGCAAGGACCTTCATCTCCGCAACAGCCTGGGTTGTCGCAAGGGCCTGGCTCACCCCAAGAACCTTCATTGCCCCTAGGGCCCGGCTTGCCGCAAGGGCCTTCATCCCCACAACAACCTGGCTCACCCCAAGAACCTTCATTGCCACTAGGGCCGGGTCACCGCAAGGGCCTTCATCCCCCCAACAGCCTGGCTGGCCCCTAGGGCCTGGATCGCCCCAAGGGCCCCAACAGCCTGGCTCACCCCTAGGGCCCGGCTCACCGCAAGGGCCGTCTTCCCCGCAACAGCCTGGCTCGCCCCTAGGGCCTGGGTCGTCCCAAGAACCTTCATCCCCCCAACAGCCGGGTCACCGCAAGGGCCCAGCTCGCCGCAAGGGCCTTCATCCCCCAACGCCTGGCTCACCCTAGGGCCCGGCTTGCCACAAGGGCTTCATACCCGCAAAGCCTGGCTCGCCCCAAGAACCTTCATACCCGCAACAGCCTGGCTCGCCCAACAGCCTGGCTCACCCGTAGGGCCTGGGTCGTCCCAAGAACCTTCATCCCGCACAGCCTGGCTCGCCCCTAGGGCCCGGCTCACCGCAAGGGCCGTCTTCCCCGCAACAGCCTGGATTGCCCTAGGGCCTGGGTCGTCCCAAGAACCTTCATCCCCGCAACAGCCTGGCTCACCCTAGGGCCTGGGTCGCCCCAAGGGCCGTCTTCCCCGCAACAGCCTGGCTCACCCCTAGGGCCTGGGTCGCCGCAAGGGCCTTCATCCCCGCAACAGCCTGGCTCGCCCCTAGGGCCCGGCTCACCGCAAGGGCCGTCTTCCCCGCAACAGCCCGGCTCACCACAAGAACCTTCATTGCCTCTAGGGCCTTCGTCGCCCCAAGGGCCGTCTTCCCCGCAACAGCCTGGCTCACCCGTAGGGCCTGGGTCGCCCCAAGGGCCTTCATCCCCAGAAGAACCTTCATTGCCTCTAGGGCCTGGGTCGCCCCTAGGGCCTTCATCCCCGCAACAGCCTGGCGCGCCCCAAGGGCCTGAGTCGCCCCAAGGGCCTTCATCCCCGCAACAGCCTGGCTCACCCGTAGGGCCTGGGTCGCCCCAACAGCCTGGCTCACCCGTAGGGCCTGGGTCGCCCCAACAGCCTGGCTCACCCGTAGGGCCTGGGTCGCCCCAACAGCCTGGCTCACCCGTAGGGCCTGGGTCGCCCCAAGGGCCTTCATCCCCAGAAGAACCTTCATTGCCTCTAGGGCCTGGGTCACCGCAAGGGCCTTCTTACCCGCAACAGCCTGGCTCGCCCCTAGGGCCCAGCTTGCCGCAAGGGCCGTCTTCCCCGCAACAGCCTGGATTGCCCCAAGAACCTTCATTGCCCCTAGGGCCCGGGTCACCGCAAGGGCCTTCTTACCCGCAACAGCCTGGCTCACCCCTAGGGCCTGGGTCGCCCCAAGAACCTTCATTGCCACTAGGGCCTGGGTCACCCCAAGGGCCTTCATCCCCGCAACAGCCTGGCTCGCCCCTAGGGCCTGGGTCACCCCAAGGGCCTTCATCCCCGCAACAGCCTGGCTCGCCCCTAGGGCCCGCTCACCGCAAGGGCCATCTTCCCTGCAACAGCCTGGCTCACCCCAAGAACCTTCTTTGCCCCTGGGGCCTGGGTCGCCCCAACAGCCTGGCTCACCCCTAGGGCCTGGGTCGCCGCAAGGGCCTTCATCCCCGCAACAGCCTGGCTCACCCCTAGGGCCTGGGTCGCCGCAAGGGCCTTCATCCCCGCAACAGCCTGGCTCACCCCTAGGGCCTGGGTCGCCGCAAGGGCCTTCATCCCCGCAACAGCCTGGCTCACCCCTAGGGCCTGGGTCGCCGCAAGGGTCTTCATCCCCGCAACAGCCTGGCTCACCCTAGGGCCTGGGTCGCCGCAAGGGTCTTCATCCCCACAACTGCCTGGATTGCCCCAAGAACCTTCATCCCCGCAAATTCATCCAACCAGAGCGCGGCCGCAACGGCCTGCATGTCCGCAACGGCCTGGAGCGCTCCTAGGGCCCGGATCACCCCAAGGGCCCCCATCCCCACAACAGCCTTCATCCCCGCAAGGGCCGCAACTACCAACATTGCCAACGACACATGGTCAGTACAAAGTACGTTCAGCAAATGTGCTGAATAGAAATGTTGTACAGTAACACTTTACTGGATTTTGGTTTTTGATGTCAGAATTTATTTTTTGGTCTTTGTCCTATTAGGTTGTGGCATCCCCACAGGAGAGCAGGTGACTTGTGGCCAGTCAGGAATATCGTCCTCAGACTGTGAGATGATGGGATGCTGTGTGGATTCTTCTACATCTACTGCTGTACTACCAATGGATGGTGAGGCTTCTGATTTTTAAAAAAATATTCAAATAGGAAATGTCTGTCTTTCAAGTGATTTTGTCCCCCCCCTCTTTAGAGTGCACTGTTGATCAACACTTTGTGTTCGCCATTCGTGCCACTCGCATCAATCCCTGTGGACCCCACCAAGCTTGTTGTTTCGGGAGTAACAAACTGTAAACCAGTCATTGTCAACGACAAAGTTGCCATCTTTAAGTTCAAAAATTCAGAATGTGGAGTTCATGCTTATGTAAGTCATGCCCTTTGTGTTTATATTTTCCCAGTGCGCTTTCCACTTTGTTACTTTTTAGCAAGTTGGAAGATGCTTCACAACTTGACCTCTGTAAAACTTAATTTAAAAGCCTAGTCCTAGTTAAGCTATATTCACTGCAGGCCTTGAGGCTCAATTTCAATTGAGATTGACTGAACAATTAGCAGATCCTTGAAGGGGAGATGATTTTATTTTCTGCAATGGGGTTACTACCTATACTGTGAACAGAAGGGATTACATTTAACTTTCAGTTAAGTTGCTAGAGACTTCATGTTCTCTGACAGGCAGGAAAAAGGCCTGTCCCTGAGACGCTTGTCCCAAATACAGGCAGCACGTTAATGCTGCAGCCCTCTAAGTTTCCCTCGACTTCCTCGCCCTGACCTGCCATTGTAGCGCACGGTTATGTCACAGGTTGATAGTGTTGCATCTAGATTTCAGATTTTTAACTGTGCTGTAAGGTGCACAGAATATTATGTGTTCTCAATGTGGTGGTCATTAAAAGAGCAGATTGCTAAATCACAAGTAAGGGATTTTATAATGCACTCACTCTAAACATATGGGAGTCTTGGAGGGTGTGCTTCAGGCATTACATTATGCATGCTGGTAATCTGCTGGGAAACCTGAAGCAAAACAGCTGACAAGTTGACTTTTCTTGACAGGAAGTTGGTGAGACGATGATCTACCTGGCTGAAGTGCAGACTGTCGTCCAATCTCTGACCCTCCAGTATGGCGTAATTGCAACACGTGATCCACTCAGGTTAGTGTTACACAATACACTTTGACTCTGTGGGCACAATTCTACCACTGTTGTGTTTTTGTGTAGTGCTAAGCTTAAATGTTAACCCACGTATCTGCATAGGTTCATGGTTGAGTGTCGCTATAGCAAAGCAGGCGTTGCTCCGCAGTCACTAACCAGCGTTGGCTACATGGTGAAGACCCCGAGTTCCACCTTGCCGTCAGCGGTCCTCTCTAATGGCTTATATGCTGTTGACTTGAGAATTGCTAAAGGTTGGGTATTTATGCCTTATTTTCTATACCAATTGCAACAAGTACAATCTTGATTCTGCTGGAGTAGGATTGCATACGAGTAGCTCTGAAATATGGACTTGTCAATTCATTGACTGTTTGCTCTTTGTCTGTCTAACCCCAACAGATCAGACGTATTCAAGCTACTTGCCCACAAATAATCAGCCCTTGCGACTGCTCCTTGGCAGTCCAGTCTATCTTGACTGCGCCTGATATCACCAAAACCAGATGCGGTAATCCTTGTCAACTACTGTGTAGCTTACCCTCGCTCTGCAAGGAATGCACTGGTGCTTATTTATGAAGGGTAAGCATGACCGAACTCCATGTACTAAAACACACCCTCCTCGCCTCTTTCTGCCTAACCATGAGTCATATTTGTCTCCAGGTGTCCCAACCTTTATGCTCCAAATGTGTCCCTCCTTAAAATCATTGACTGCAAAATCGTCATCAGAGGCGGTTTGTGGTTGAAGCCTTCCAGTTATGGTTCAAAGAACAAACAAATACCTTGATGAGAGTGAGTAATCAGGAAGCCGTTTGGGTCTAAATGGTCAAAGCTATGCTGTGTACAACTGCCCTGACACAGTAATGTGGTGACTTATTCTATCCCGCTATTATGATTGCAAAGCGGAAATGAAATTTACCAAATATGTCAATGTAATATTGTCTAGCTTTCAAGTGTCTGCTCCAAACTGAATGCCTCCACTTGAGATTTTGTACTTTAGAGGCAACAGTGCTGTCATTCTGTGGAAAACGCATATGGGATGTATACACTTTTTCTGCCATGGTGAAATGGTGTGTTTTGTTTTTACCCTGTAGATCTATTTCATGTGCTCTACAGAAGTGTGTTTACCAGCAGATAGGCCATGTGAACAACGGTGCTTTGATGGAAAGGTGAGTCTGTAAACTATGCCAATGTCCTATCAGCTCAGTGTATTAGTCTAATCAATTTCTTTTCTTCTAGGCACCATAAGATGCTGCAGAAGACTTAAGGAGGGGGGGGGGGGAATAAATCGCATTTTATAACACGGTAAACCAGGTCTTGTGGTTTTTGTTATGTAGACTTGTAAGTCTGTAAATGACTTGTGTGGGTTGAAACGGTGACACTGTTCTTACAAGGATACTGTTGGTGGGTGATCTTCAGCCTTTTGAGCAGAGGAATCTATCCACTGTATTGTAGATAAAGAGGGAAAAGAGAATGCAAAATCCCTAGAGGATCAACGGAAACGCCTCAGAATGCAGTACTTCAACACCAAAACTACATCCTCCCCAGTTGAAAAGTACTTGGATGATATATTGGGTTGTGAATGGTGTGCTATATAAAGGTAACATGACAAGGGAAAAATACGAGTACTGATCAAGTTTTATTAGTGGTTGGACTTTGTTGAAGAGACTGCAAAATGACATTCGAGAATTATGAAGAAAAGAGATACAGCTTAAAAATGAGGGCAGAAAGCTGGACAAAAGAAACCATTACTATGTTCATATCTAAATGTGTCTGTATTAAAACAACAAAGATGATGACATTTGTAAACCGTAAGACGGTGTCTTCAGTTCTGGCATGCATTTTTGACCCTTAGTAGCTAATGGTCATAATTTTTACATAGAGCAGAAATTTACTTTTCAGCTGTATCGCTGCCTCTTGAGCTTGCAGTGTAAATGTGATTTTAGTTTTTATGTAGATTGTCTGTGGTGCACAACCAGAGGAATTGGTTAAATAATGAGATGCCTTGCACTGGGCATGTAGGTGACATGGCGGATCTGGTCCATCAATAACAAAAAATACCACTGCTTACTTCATAAAAGCACAACTTTATTCACTGATTTTGCTGAAACTGGATCATATTTGATGGAAAATATTTCCTGGTTTCAGGCCTGGCGCCAGGATGAAGTGACTGGGGGGGGGGGGGGGGATCTCTGTGTGTCAGACATGCTCACAAGTCTTTGAGCTAGAGTCCAAGGCCCAAGCCCTGAACCCTCAGACTTTACTGACGTCACTGGCTCAAATGCTGTGAACGGGACAGCACTTTATCACGTTACCTTGACGGCGCTGAAACACATTGCGCACCTTTATGTTTTTGCCTTGTTTTAAGTCCTGCAGGCGATTGCCCTACAGAGTGAGAGAGTAGCCTAAATGTCAATTATATTTGTCAATATCATTAATACACTATAGTTGGTCAAATGGCATCGTTATCATTTCCCATTCCTTTTAAAGCCAGGTGCGCATGTACTTTGGCGCATTGCTATTATGGTGCTTTCAGACCAAAAGTGAAGCAATCGTTTGGGCGGTGCGTTTACATACAAAGTCAAATATAAGGCCAACGCCTACAAGGGAATTTCTACTTCACTACTAAAAAAAACACCCAGGTTTTTCTTTTGGTTCTAGAGAATATGATTACAAGAAAGGACATTAATGTTTTAAATGATAAAGACTTTTGAATAGTCTGCTTATTTGACTTGTGGGTGCAGTAGTAGACTATATGGGTGTTTGTGTTCTTGTACTGAAATATTTGCAATAAACTCTTTTGCCACCCCCGAGAAATTTCGGTGTCTTATTTTATATTTTTCTTCGTTAAGACGCTGAAAGTGTGTGATTTCGATCCATCATCATGGAAGAACTTTAAAAGATAAAAGTCCGGCAATGCTCTGTGAAATACATTTGAACATAGCGTTTACATGAAGCTTTTCTTTGGAGACTGAAATGAAAGCCAGCTGAGTTTAATTATTTCAGTCAGTGAAATCCATCCATCCGTCAGTGAAATGAAGCATTTAAATGTTAATGACAACCTTTATTAGGTATAACTGTAAAGTGAATCTATTCAACATCTTTGTGATAGAATGTATTTGTGTGATGCTTGTAAGATGGTTTTAGATGTTGATTCTACTTTTGAGATGGAGAGTAATGGTTTCATATAGTATTTACTATTTCAATGATTTTTTTAAACAATGACATGTACACACTGTACATGAGGAAGACAATGACAATATTAGAGACACCTCCAAATGTAATGCAGCACCCAAAGGAAACCCTGTGTTGATTAAATGTGTAACAAGCAATATCCAAGGTGTTATTTAGAAAAATAAAATAACTGAACATGCTTGCAGTATTCAAAATGTTGTCTGAAAGAAAATTCCAGTTATACTTAAGAAAAGATTTCAAAAAGTATTTGCACAGACTGGTGCCTGTAACTTGTAACATAATGTCTACATTTACATCATTAAATGTTGGTCAGTTGATTTATTTTAAAAGAACTGTAACATCTTAGAAACATGAAATAGGCATTTCTTAGTAAACAGGCAGTTTTCATTCCCAAACCTGTGACTTTAGTTGAGTAGCGAGTGCCAATCAGTAGTCACCAGGTGCACTCAATTGACTTCAAACGCCACCCGCTCCGTTTCAAGAGGCTATATTGTCTGGGTGCTCAGCAACTGCAGGAGGGCCTCACATTGATTCATGGCTGGCGTCAGGGTAGAGCTGCTGCTGGTCCTGACTGCGACTCTGCTGGTTCAGTAGAGGGATGGGCGCGGATCAAGAAAATTCAACGTCCCTCGCCAGGTAACAACCACCAATGACACAGCACCGATAATAAGCGTGTGGTCACTGAAAGCAGGTTCTTGCAAATGTCGTCTTTTGCATACGTCTACAACTGGACCACTATGTCATTTATGAGGGATGGTAACATGCAGACATCGCTTTGTAGCTGTCATTTACAAAGTCATGGACTTTATGATTGTAGTAGGTATGTGAACAAAATTTGCAGCGTGGTCAAATGCTAAAACAATTGTACAGCTGGAAAGGGCTTGAAATATACTGAAAATGATAACAAGACCAGGTTTATTGCTTCAATAATTGCACAACAGGGTCATTTAAAAGCCAAAGTAGTCCCTTACACTGTCTTGTTTCCCCTGAAGTTAAAGCAAAGGTGTGACCTACGGCATGGCTATAGCACACTCTGCTGGCTGTCTTATGTTCTTAGTCAATGAAGCAGATTTTGCGGGCAATAAAACCCCCAAGGTGTTGTTCAAATTCATTGAAATTTTGTTCACTTGTCGTCTAGCAATTAAACTAAATATCTATTACAGTTGTTTACAAATGTTTATACTTCAGCAAAAAATGAGATTATGTGTGACTGAACAAACTTTGGCGCGCTCACAATGCCAGTATTTCACGGGAAAGACGGAGTCTTGAAACGAGGAGGTATCTAGGTTCTTCTGGCGGTGTAATGAATCAGAACCTGGAAGTTCTGCAAAAAGAGTAATTTTCTCAACACTGCAAGACACCTGAGGGGAAAAACCAGAGTTAACGTCTATCGGAACAAAGATGGCAGCCGCGATAGTGGAGATTGCCGGTACCTAGTTTTAGCCTATGTATTTCCATCATATCAAGCATGGATGACCTGAGATGTCTGTGTTTCGTCCACTCTAGCAACTGCTTAGTCATAAAGACTGGAAGAAACTATTTGGCTGGGCTGTCTACATCGATTTGACAAGAAATGGCTGAATTCTCTTGACTGCAATCTGTGACATTGGTAACAATTGCCTCTCTCCACTCCAGATGACCGCAGGGAGGACGACAGCGGTGAAGATGCAGTTCTTGAGGATTCATTGCTTCAAGTTGAAGGTGCCACCGCCAGTGGAAACTTCTACAATTTTGCTAACCATGGAGACCAGATGAACAGTAGATTCTAGTCCAAGACATGGCGCAGAGGTACTGATAGTAGTTTCCAGATGGAATTGACAATATCCCTTCAAGGAGCCGACCAGCGGTACCAGTCGGCGTCGAGGGCTAGAGTGGTTTGCAGTGACGCTGGCTTTCAAATTACTGTGCTGAAAGGTTCATTAAGTGAAGTTAAAGTTGTGGGTATGTACTTGACTTTGCTGCCTATTTAAATGTCTTTATTTTGCTGAATGCATGTTGTAACTGACTAGGCTTTCACTCGTTCATCAGGCTCAAAGGACCTGCTGTCTGTTATGGATGCTCCAGAGTCTTGGGTTATGAAGTGAACCCTTTGACTAACACCTTGCTGTACCCTTTACCGGTGCCATGTGAAACGGGTAGGCTTCTTAAATGTACTTTGAAGTAATTGCTTGGCTCTGTAGTCTATATTTTAATGTGTAGTTTTGCATGTCTTGAATTGAGTTCTTTCTTCAAAAAGCTCTTTGTATTACAGAGTGACCGCTACAGCCTGCAGTTGTTGTACGTCAACGCGTTTGATCAGACACAAGTTGCTACCGCATCTTGTGAGAGACGCCTGAAGGTTGACCCAGGCGTATTTCCTGGCTCCAGTGGCCAATCCTATCCCACATTTAAGCGCATTGAGCCAATCCGAGCGCGCGGCCACAACGGCCTGCATGTCCGCAAAAGCCTGGCTCGCCCCAAGAACCTTCATTGCCCCTAGGGCCTGGATCACACCAAGGGCCTTCATCCCCCGCAACTGCCTGGCTCACCGTAGGGCCTGGGTCGCCCCAAGGGCCGTCTTCCCGCAACAGCCTGGATTGCCCCTAGGGCCTGGGTCGTCCCAAGGACCTTCATCCCCGCAACAGCCTGGCTCGCCCTAGGGCCGGCTCACCGCAAGGGCCGTCTTCCCAGCAACAGCCGGCTCACCACAAGAACCTTCATTGCCTCTAGGGCCTTCGTCGCCCCAAGGGCCGTCTTCCCCGCAACAGCCTGGCTCACCCGTAGGGCCTGGGTCGCCCAAGGGCCTTCATCCCCAGAAGAACCTTCATTGCCTCTAGGGCTGGGTCGCCCCAAGGGCTGGCTCACCCGTAGGGCCTGGGTCGCCCCCAAGGGCCTTCATCCCCAGAAGAACCTTCATTGCCTCTAGGGCCTGGGTCACCGCAAGGGCCTTCTTACCCGCAACAGCCTGGCTCGCCCCTAGGGCCCAGCTTGCCGCAAGGGCCGTCTTCCCCGCACAGCCTGGCCACCCAAGAACCTTCATTGCCCCTAGGGCCCGGGTCACCCAAGGGCCTTCTTACCCGCAACAGCCTGGGTCACCGCAAGGGCCTTCATCTCCGCAACAGCCTGGGTCGTCGCAAGGGCCTGGCTCGCCCCAAGAACCTTCATTGCCACTAGGGCCTGGTCGCCGCAAGGGCCTTCATACCGCAACAGCCTGGCTCGCCCCTAGGGCCCGGCTCACCGCAAGGGCCGTTCCCCGCAACAGCCTGGATTGCCCCTAGGGCCTGGGTCGTCCCAAGGGCCTTCATCCCCGCAACAGCCTGGCTCGCCCCTAGGGCCCGGCTCACCGCAAGGGCCATCTTCCCTGCAACAGCCTGGCTCACCCCAAGAACCTTCTTTGCCCCTGGGGCCTGGGTCGCCCCAACAGCCTGGCTCACCCGTAGGGCCTGGGTCGTCCCAAGAACCTTCATCCCCGCAACAGCCTGGCTCGCCCCTAGGGCCCGGCTCGCCGCAAGGGCCATCTGCCCCGCAACAGCCTGGCTTGCCCCAAGGGCCCCAACAGCCTGGCTCACCCCAAGGGCCTTCATCCCCACAAGAACCTTCTTTGCCCCTTGGACCTGGGTCGCCCCAACAGCCTGGGTCATCCCAAGAACCTTCATCCCCCCAACAGCCTGGCTCGCCCCTAGGCCCGGCTCACCGCAAGGGCCGTCTTCCCCCCAACAGCCGGCTCGCCCCCAAGGGCCCCAACAGCCTGGCTCACCCCAAGGGCCTCATCCCCACAAGAACCTTCTTTGCCCTTGGACCTGGGTCGCCCCAACAGCCTGGCTCACCCGTAGGGCCTGGGTCGTCCCAAGAAACCTTCATCCCCGCAACAGCCTGGCTCGCCCCTAGGACCCGGCTCGCCGCAAGGGCCGTCTTCCCCGCAACAGCCTGGATTGGCCCTAGGGCCTGGGTCGTCCCAAGAACCTTCATCCCCGCAACAGCCTGGCTCGCCCCTAGGGCCCGGCTCACCGCAAGGGCCATCTTCCCCGCAACAGCCTGGCTTGCCCCAAGGGCCCCAACAGCCTGGCTCACCCCAAGGGCCTTCATCCCCACAAGAACCTTCTTTGCCCCTAGGGCCCGGCTCGCCGCAAGGGCCTTCATTGCCTCAACAGCCCGGCTCGCCGCAAGAACCTTCATTGCCTCAACAGCCTGGCTCACCGCAAGAACCTTCATTGCCTCTAGGGCCTGGGTCACCGCAAGGGCCTTCTTACCCGCAACAGCCTGGCTCGCCCCTAGGGCCCGGCTTGCCGCAAGGGCCTTCTTACCCGCAACAGCCTGGCTCGCCCCTAGGGCCCGGCTTGCCGCAAGGACCTTCTTACCGCAACAGCCTGGCTCGCCCTAGGGCCCGGCTTGCCGCAAGGACCTTCTTACCCGCAACAGCCTGGCTCGCCCTAGGGCCTGGCTCACCGCAAGAGCCCCAACAGCTTGGCTCACCCCAAGGGCCTTCATCCCACAAGAACCTTCTTTGCCCCTTGGACCTGGGTCGCCCCAACAGCCTGGCTCACCCGTAGGGCCTGGGTCGTCCCAAGAACCTTCATCCCCGCAACAGCCTGGCTCGCCCTAGGGCCCGCTCACCGCAAGGGCCGTCTTCCCCGCAACGCCTGGCTCGCCCCTAGGACGGCTCGCCGCAAGGCCGTCTTCCCCGCAACAGCTGGATTGCCCCTAGGGCCTGGGTCGTCCCAGAACCTTCATCCCCGCAACAGCCTGGCTCGCCCCTAGGGCCGGCTCACCGCAAGGGCCAGCTTCCCCGCAACAGCCTGGCTCGCCCCAAGGGCCTTCATCCCCAACAAACCTTCTTTGCCCCTTGACCTGGGGTCCCCCCACAGCGGTACGTAGGCCTGGGTCGTCCCAAGAACCTTCATCCCCGCAACAGCCTGGCTCGCCCCTAGGGCCCGGCTCACCGCAAGGGCCGGCTTCCCCGCAACAGCCTGGCTCGCCCTAGGACCGCCGCTCGCCCAAGGCCGTCTTCCCCGCAACAGCCTGGATTGCCCCTAGGGCCTGGGTCGTCCCAAGAACCTTCATCCCCGCAACAGCCTGGCTCGCCCCTAGGGCCCGGCTCACCGCAAGGGCCAGCTTCCCCGCAACAGCCTGGCTCGCCCCTAGGGCCCGGCTCACCGCAAGGGCCAGCTTCCCCGCAACAGCCTGGCTCGCCCCTAGGGCCCGGCTCACCGCAAGGGCCAGCTTCCCCGCAACAGCCTGGCTCGCCCCAAGGGCCTTCATCCCCACAAGAACCTTCTTTGGCCCTTGGACCTGGGTCGCCCCAACAGCCTGGCTCACCCGTAGGGCCTGGGTCGTCCCAAGAACCTCATCCCCGCAACAGCCTGGATGCCCCTAGGGCCTGGGTCGTCCCAAGAACTTCATCCCCGCAACAGCCTGGCTCGCCCCTAGGGCCCGGCTCACCGCAAGGCCAGCTTCCCCGCAACAGCCTGGATTGCCCCTAGGGCCTGGGTCGTCCCAAGAACCTTCATCCCCGCAACAGCCTGGCTCACCCTAGGGCCTGGGTCGTCCCAAGAACCTTCATCCCGCAACAGCCTGGCTCGCCCCTAGGGCCTGGGTCGCCGCAAGGCCGTCTTCCCCGCAACAGCCTGGATGTGCCCTAGGGCCTGGGTCGTCCCAAGAACCTTCATCCCCGCAACAGCCTGGCTCGCCCCTAGGGCCCGGCTCACCGCAAGGGCCAGCTTCCCCGCAACAGCCTGGCTCGCCCAAGGGCCTTCATCCCCACAAGAACCTTCTTTGCCCCTTGGACCTGGGTCGCCCCAACAGCCTGGCTCACCCGTAGGGCCTGGGTCGTCCAAGAACCTTCATCCCCGCACAGCCTGGCTCGCCCTAGGGCCCGGCTCGCCGCAAGGGCCGTCTTCCCGCAACAGCCTGGCTCGCCCCTAGGACCGGCTCGCCGCAAGGGCCGTCTTCCCCGCAACAGCCTGGATTGCCCCTAGGGCCTGGGTCGTCCCAAGAACCTTCACCCGCAACAGCCTGGCTCCCCCTAGGGCCCGGCTCACCGCAAGGGCCAGCTTCCCCGCAACAGCCTGGCTCGCCCCTAGGGCCCGGCTCACCGCAAGGGCCAGCTTCCCCGCAACAGCCTGGCTCGCCCCTAGGGCCGGCTCACCGCAAGGGCCAGCTTCCCCGCAACAGCCTGGCTCGCCCCAAGGGCCTTCATCCCCACAAGAACCTTCTTTGCCCCTTGGACCTGGGTCGCCCCAACAGCCTGGCTCACCCGTAGGGCCTGGGTCGTCCCAAGAACCTTCATCCCGCAACAGCCTGGATTGCCCCTAGGCCTGGGTCGTCCCAAGAACTTCATCCCCGCAACAGCCTGGCTCCCCTAGGGCCCGCTCACCCAAGGGCCGTCTTCCCCGCAACAGCCTGGATGCCCCTAGGGCCTGGTCAGTCCCCAAGAACCTTCATCCCCGCAACAGCCTGGCCCCCTGGAGCCTGGGTGTCCCAAGAACCTCATCCCCGACAGCTGGCTCGCCCCTAGGGCCCGGTCGCGCAAGGGCCGTCTTCCCGCAACAGCCTGGATTGCCTAGGGCCTGGGTCGTCCCAAGAACCTTCATCCCCGCAACAGCCTGGCTCGCCCCTAGGGCCCGGCTCACCGCAAGGGCCGTCTTCCCCGCAACAGCCTGGATTGCCCCTAGGGCCTGGGTCGTCCAAAACCTTCATCCCCGCAACAGCCTGGCTCACCCCTAGGGCCTGGGTCGCCGCAAGGGCCTTCATCCCGCAACAGCCTGGCTCACCCCTAGGGCCTGGGTCCGCAAGGGCCTTCATCCCCGCAACAGCCTGGCTCACCCCTAGGGCTGGGTCGCCGCAAGGGTCTTCATCCCGCAACAGCATGGCTCACCCCTAGGGCCTGGGTCGCCGCAAGGGTCTTCATCCCCACAACTGCCTGGATTGCCCCAAGAACCTTCATCCCCGCAAATTCATCCAACCAGAGCGCGGCCGCAACGGCCTGCATGTCCGCAACGGCCTGGAGCGCTCCTAGGGCCCGGATCACCCCAAGGGCCCCCATCCCCAAACAGCCTTCATCCCCGCAAGGGCCGCAACTACCAACATTGCCAACGACACATGGTCAGTACAAAGTACGTTCAGCAAATGTGCTGAATAGAAATGTTGTACAGTAACACTTTACTGGATTTTGGTTTTGATGTCAGAATTATTTTTTGGTCTTTTATTAGGTTGTGGCATCCCCACAGAGAGCAGGTGACTTGTGGCCAGTCAGGAATATCGTCCTCAGACTGTGAGATGATGGGATGCTGTGTGGATTCTTCTACATCTACCTGCTACTACCCAATGGATGGTAGGCTCTGATTTTTAAAAAAATATTCAAATAGGAATGTCTGTCTTCAAGTGACTTTTGTCCCCCCTCTCTTTAGAGTGCACTGTTGATCAACACTTTGTGGTTCGCCATTCGTGCCAACTCATCAATCCCTGTGGACCCCACCAAGCTTGTTGTTTCTGGGAGTACAAACTGTAAACCAGTCATTGTCAACGACAAAGTTGCCATCTTTAAGTTCAAAAATTCAGAATGTGGAGTCATGTTATGTAAGTCATGCCCTTTGTGTTTATATTTTTCCAGTGCGCTTCCACTTTGTTACTTTTTTAGCAAGTTGGAAGATGCTTCACAACTTGACCTCTGTAAAACTTAATTTAAAAGCCTAGTCCTAGTTAAGCTATATTCACACTGCAGGCCTTGAGGCTCAATTTCAATTGAGATTGACTGAACAATTAGCAAGACTTGAAGGGGAGATGTTATTTCTGCAATGGGGTTACTACCTATACTGTGAACAGAAGGGATTACATTAACTTTCAGTTAAGTTGCTAGAGACTTCATGTTCTCTGACAGGCAGGAAAAAGGCCTGTCCCTGAGACGCTTGTCCCAATACAGGCAGCACGTTTAATGCTGCAGCCCTCTAAGTTTCCCTCGACTTCCTCGCCCTGACCTGCCATTGTAGCGCACGGTTATGTCACAGGTTGATAGTGTTGCATCTAGATTTCAGATTTTAACTGTGCTGTAAGGTGACAGAATATATGTGTTTCTCAATGTGGTGGTCATTAAAAGAGCAGATTGCTAAATCACAAGTAAAGGATTTTATAAATGCACTCACTCTAAACATACTGGAGTCTGGAGGGTGTGCTTCAGGCATTACATTATGCATGCTGTGTAATCTGCTGGGAAACCTGAGCAAACAGCTGACAAGTTGACTTTTCTTGACAGGAAGTTGGTGAGACGATGATCTACCTGGCTGAGTGCAGACTGTCGTCCAATCTCTGACCCTCCAGTATGGCGTAATTGCAACACGTGATCCACTCAGGTTAGTGTTACACAATACATTGACTCTGTGGGCACAATTCTACCACTCTGTTGTGTGTTGTGTAGTGTAAGCGTAAATGTTAACCCACGTATCTGCATAGGTTCATGGTTGAGTGTCGCTATAGCAAAGCAGGCGTTGCTCCGCAGTCATAACCAGAGGTTGCTACATGGTGAAGACCCGAGTTCCACCTTGCGTCAGCGGTCCTCCTAATGGCTTATATGCTGTTGACTTGAGAATTGCTAAAGGTTGGGTATTTATGCCTTATTTTCTATACCAATTGCAACAAGTACAATCTTGATTCTGCTGGAGTAGGATTGCATACGAGTAGCTCTGAAATATGGACTTGTCAAATTCATGATGGATGCTCTTGTCTGTCTAACCCCAACAGATCAGACGTATTCAAGTACTTGCCCACAAATAATCAGCCCTGCGACTGCTCCTTGGCAGTCCAGTCTATCTTGAACTGCGCCTGATATCACCAAAACCAGATGCGGTAATCCTTGTCAACTACTGTGTAGCTTACCCTCGCTCTGCAAGGAATGCCTGGTGCTTATTTATGAAGGGTAAGCAGACCGAATCCATGTACTAAAAAACACCTCTCGCCCTCTTCTGCCTAACCATGAGTCATATGGTCTCCAGGTGTCCCAACCTTTATGCTCCAAATGTGTCCCTCCTTAAAATCATTGACTGCAAAAATCGTCATCAGAGGCGGTTTGTGGTTGAAGCCTTCCAGTTTATGGTTCAAAAGACAAACAAATACCTTGATGAAGAAGTGAGTAATCAGGAAGCGTTATGGGTCTAAATGGTCAAAGCTATGCTGTGTACAACTGCCCTGACACAGTAATGTGGTGACTTATTCTATCCCGCTATTATGATTGCAAAGCGGAAATGAATTTACCAAATATGTCAATGTAATATTTGTCTAGCTTTCAAGTGTCTGCTCCAAACTGAATTGCCTCCACTTGAGATTTTGTACTTTAGAGGCAACAGTGCTGTCATTCTGTGGAAAACGCATATGGGATGTATACACTTTTTCTGCCATGGTGAATGGTGTGTTTTGTTTTTCCCCTGTAGATCTATTTCATGTGCTCTACAGAAGGTGTTTACCAGCAGATAGGCATGTGAACAACGGTGCTTTGATGGAACGGTGAGTCTGTAAACTATGCCAATGTCCTATCAGCTCAGTGTATTAAGTCTAATCAATTTCTTTTCTTTAGGCACCATAAGGATGCTGCAGAAGATTAAGGAGGGGGGGGGGGGGATAAATCGCATTTTTAACACGGTAAACCAGGTCTTGTGGTTTTTGTTAATGTCGAACTTGTAAGTCTGTAATGACTTTGTGGGGGTGAAACGGTGACACTGTCTTACAAGGATATGTTGTGGTGATATTCAGCCTTTTGAGCAGAGGAATCTATCCACTGTAATTGTAGATAAGAGGGAAAATGAGAATGCAAATATCCCTAGAGGATCAACGGAAACAGCCTCAGAATAATGCAGTACTTCAACACCAAAACTACATCTCCCAGTTGAAAAGTACTTGGATGATATATTGGGTTGTGAATGGGTGTGCTATATAAAGGTAACATGACAAGGGAAAATACGAGTATGATCAAGTTTATTAGTGGTTGGACTTTGTTGAAGAGACTGCACAAAATGACATTTGAGAATTAGAAGAAACAGAGATACAGCTTAAAAATGAGGGCAGAAAGCTGGACAAAAGAAACCATTACTATGTTCATATCTAAATGTGTCTGTATTAAAACAACAAAGATGATGACATTTGTAAACCGTTAAGACGGTGTCTTCAGTTCTGGCATGCATTTTTGACCCCTTAGTAGCTAATGGTCATAATTTTTTAATAGAGCAGAAAGTTACTTTTCAGCTGTATCGCTGCCTCTGAGCTTGCAGTGTAAATGTGATTTTTAGTTTTTATGTAGATTGTTCTGTGGTGCAAACCAGAGGAATTGGTTAATAATGAGATGCCTTGCACTGGGCATGTAGGTGACATGGCAGGATCTGGTCCATCAATAACAAAAAATACCACTGCT